AGCCCCTCTAATTAAAGTGCTGAGACCATTTCATGTATCAACATCCCCATGCTTTAAAATGGTGTTGGGGGTGCTTTATCTAAAGCTCATCAAATGAGCTTTAGATAAAGTGCCCCTGCTGCCATTTTGAAGCGCAGGGATGCTGTTACATGAGTTGCTGGAGGCTGCTGGAGTGTGGTAATTATCACGCTCCAACAGACTTGATTAACGGAGTCTGCTCTGACACACTGTAATCATAGCGTGTCAGAGCAGCCTCACTGCTCGTGTATTGGAGACCTTAGCTTGCATTGATTTTGGTGAGAACCATGGACGATGCGTGGGGGTGCATGTGCACCCCCTGAGCTTGGTGGTGCACCCCCTGCAAAAAGTGCTGCTGATGCTGCTGGCGGCGCCTGTGGGCAGTTGCTGCTCGCCACCCCCCCTGCCACCGCCACCGGCGTCTTTGGGTGGTCCCCGATCACCACTGGCTGCTGCCTCTGCTGCTGGTGGCGTCTGCGGGTGGTTGCCAACACTGCTGCCTGTGGGTGGTCACCATGCCCCCCTCCAGCCTGTGGGGGCAAGTGGTGTTCATGGTGAGAACAGTGGTAGTCAGTTTAACTCCGTATTGATGATGCGGGGGGTTGGACTAGATGGTCATTAAGTCCCTTCCAACCCTAATTTTCTAATTCTATAATGCAATGACAGTGAGCATTTTTTAAGAAAAGTTTGTTGTAGGTTGAAACCAGGCCCTTAGCATACTCTGATTAAGACAGCTTGGAGCAAGCCAGCTCCACAGCATGGAGCTAATCGTGGTCCAGAATATTACCATAGCCTAGGTTCACATTTGAAGTGGTAATGTTAGGAGACCCTCTCTTCCCTCATTGAGTATGTGCAACATAGGATCCTTTCTTTTCCTTTCTCTAGGAAAAGAAAGGAAAGTGTTTGGCTTATTTCAGCATTTAGGTTGTACCTTATTTGATGGCTGAGGTGACTGCACTTTTCTCTTCCTGATATATTATGCAGAGTACTTAGTGGAGGTATGTTGGTCCCTTTGAGCAGTGGCTCCTGGTGTAATTCTAATAAGATGAATGAAGCAGTCTATTCCTCTTGAGCTGTTGTTGCAGCCTCACTGTTGATAACTTCAGGCATCAGTGCACTCATCAAAGTGAGGTCATGTTTCCAGTCTTTTTTTACAGCTTGTTTTGCTAGAAATGTATATTTTTAATATGAAAGCTAGAATTCTCATTTAATCACATGACTCAGATGCTAAGGCCCTAGACACAGGTTTGTAACCAGTATGCATTAATTTGGCCCAACCACCTATGAAAACACATACTCATCTAGGGACCATGACATACAAGCAGCTGACAAGGTATGCATATGCCCTACAGAATCTTTCAGCAAGGAAATGAAACATGCTCATTAAAGTTAAGCAAAATAACTGGTTTATTTTCTGTTTGGAGTCTTGGGCCTTTTCTACATGACAAGGTTTTGCTGGCATAGCTGTCTTGACTACAGGATGTAAAAAGACCACATCCTGTAGTGTAGATGAAAGCTGTGTCAGCAAAACCCTGGGTGTGTACACAGCCCTGCAGAGGAAGGTTTTTGCCGTTGAGCTGGTGTAAGTCTGGTAGCACAAAAACTCCTTCTGCCAGCAGAAGTGTGTATACACCAGGGTGTTCTGTCACTGTAGTTAAAGCAACAGCAGCCCTAGGTGCAAACTAAGTTTACCATAGCAAGGATGGGAAACTAGGTGATGGAGGGAGGCTAAGGCCAAGTTTACCCTGTCAGGTTTTAACTCTACTGTAGTTCTGCTGGTAGACTTCACATGACAGCAATGATGACAGCCACGATGAGGAAGAAGATGGAGGCAGTGAAAAAGAATAAAGGATGAGCAATGAGGACAACAGAGAAAATGATGATAGCAGTGATGATGAAGAGAGCAACGCAGGCTAAAAACTAGGGAGAACAGAAGGGTGAGGGAGGTGGAGAGATGGAAAGGGAGCAGGAGGTAGGAGCAGAGGCAGGCCAGCATGACTATTGGAGATATGGACAGGTGCGTGGGTGTGATTATTGTAATGGGAATTTGATGCTGTAATGGTGTGTATGTGTGAGGGCCTGTCAAGTGAACTGGACCATTCTTCACAAGACAGGGAGGTGAAAGCAGAGGAGTGATTGTGTACATATATATGTATAAGTATATAAATACATTTTTGCAAAAAAACCCAAACAAATGTCACATGCATTCATACTCAATGCTTCTTTGTCATGGCAGAAACTTCTTTTTTGTCAACCAAATGAAACCATCTCTGTCAAGCTAAGTAAAGCTTCTGCCACATATTGGCAGCTGACAGAAGGCACATATAGACACTCTTGTATCTGCTGCTGGGCACCAGTCCTTTCAGCAGCTATTGCTTCCCAGGATGTACTTGGTACTCTGGTATAATTGCAGTGGTATTGGGATGCAGGAGTGCTCTGAGTGCAGCTGCTGTTTGCTACTACAAGTGAGTGTAGACAAGGCTGTGTAGGTTGTAGCCGTGTTGGTCTAACGACATAGGCAGAAAAGATTCTTTGGGTAAATCTGATATTTTTAATTAGACCAACTCAAATAGATGGAAAAATTCTTCTTAGCAAGCTTTCGGGTTTAAATACCCTTCATCAGGCTAAGGAAGCATTTGCAGTTGCTGTGTGCTCTTCCTGGATGGAATGAATAGTAAGGAAGCCAGAGGCTGGGCTGCATGCAAGAAAGGCAGTCAGTGAAGATGTAAATTGAGGAATCAGTGGATGAGAGGACGGGGGTGGGGAGGGGGGTGGGAAGAGGCAAGGAATGAATGTAGTTTGGTAAATAGTGGAGAGATACCTGGGAAGTCAGATGTAAGGAAGGTTATAATGTGTCATAAATCCATTGTCTTAATTTAGTCCATGATTTTTTGTGTCCAGGAGGTTGATGAAGTGCAGTTCATAGGCTCATCTGTGAAAGGTGTTTTGTAAATTCACTTTGAGGATTAGAATGAAATTGGAAAGACAGTGGTTTTCTTGTGAGAAATGTGCCCCCACCGGTTATTGGGTATTCTTGTCTTTAATAGATTTCTAGCGTGCGTTCATTCTGGTGCACTGTTGTTGTTTGGTCTCTCCTATGTATTTTCCATCAGGGCATTTGGTGCATTGGATGAGACATATATTACATTTCTAGAGGTGCAGCTGTAGACAAGTCCAGTATTGTCAGTGGCTGAAACCAGTGAAGGACCCTAATATATGAAGTTTGCTAAGCATCCAAGAGTCATGTTAGTACAAGAGAAGTACTCAGTACAGGGTGAGCAGCTTGAGGATTCTTGGGCATTCTCTGAAAATTGCTGCCACACTAGCATTTAATCAGGATGGACACAACCAGCTTATGTAATAAAGTGGTGTTTAGACTATGTCATGATAGAGAGTAGGGGTAGGCAACCTTTTCTGACTGTGGGTCAGAATAACCCATCACAGGTTGGAGGTGAGCAGGTGGATAGGTGCCAAGATCCTGGCACCACTGCTGCTTGTCTCCCCACTGGCTCCAGGAAAATGTCCCCAGCCAGTGCTTCTCCTCATGGTAGCATGGAAAGAGCATCTGCAGAAGGTGTCCTATGTTGCCAGATACTACTGAAGCCCCATCTGTGGGCCAGAGCCAAAGGTTCTGCAGACCAGAACTGGCAGGTGGGCTGTAGGCTGCCCACCCCTGATTTAGAGGTTTTCTGATAAAGAATTTACAATCTGAGCAGAAGGACTGGGGAAGAAAAACAAGACTTGACCATGGGCTGGTAATTTTTCCCCACAGTTCTGAGTTATAAAGACTGCTATAATTTTTCTGTGGATGTAGAAGCTGCTAAATAACTGACTTAGCTTAACCTCAGTAATTATTAACCCAGAGACTGACTTAGCTCCCCAGTTATACCTTCTTTCTCAAGAATGTGCGCCAGCAGGGTAATGTACTTATGTCAACTATTGCAATTTTTATCACAGGTCTCCCAATATATTTCTCAAAGCACACGGTCCTGAAGTCAAGTGACTCAAGTCCAACTTTTCTAGAAAATTAAAAAAACCCTACATGCTTGTAAAGGAAAGCTTGAAAACGTGTGCGTAACTTAGAGGCTCAAAAAGCAAAGGAAGAGATTTTTAATATTATTTTTAAGCTGATATTTTGAATGTTTAGGACTAACAATATTGGGATTCACCAACAGATAATACGCATCTGATTCTTTCAGATCAAAAGAAGGTCGGGGGAGGGCACAGACAGAAGAATGCTTTGGAGGACAGCCGGGAGCGCTGGAACACGTCCCCATGCAGCGCGGGCAGGTCTTGGACATAGAGAGCTACACAAACAGGCAAGAGAGCAGAGGGTGAATGTAGTGTTTATGCAAAATGACACCGCTGGACAAATGATGGTCTCTGGCTCCAGAGCTGGCAGCAATACTGCATAAGGCTCTACCCGTTCTCAAACACTAGATGTATCATCATTCAGAACCAACCCTCAGGAGATTAACCAGAGGACTGTTCAGTAGCTACCGCAGTGGAGGCCAACCTCCAACCTTTCCGCCAAAACACTAATGCTTGCACCCCTCCCCCCAGTGCCACTGCTCCCCTCCTCCTGCTTTGCTTCCTACTCCCTGCCTGTCTGCTGCTCTGCCTTGTGCCCTATGCTCCCTGCCCGATCTCTTGCTCTGCTTTCTGCTCTATCCTGTGCTCCCTCCCCAGTCAGCCACTCTATTTTCTGCTCCTTGCCGGATCTGCTGGTCTGCTATCTGCTCCCTCCCGTGCGTCCTGCGCTATCCACTGCTCTGCTTTCTGCTCCCTTTCCAATCTGCTTTGGGCCCTGAGGCTGCCCATGCCACTTGTGCCTCAGCCCAGCTACCAGCGCTCCCCGAGTCCTACGCTCAGCCCGCGGCAGGTCCCGCCCCACGACCCCCACTCCCGGCCTCGAGCCACAAAACCCCAACCCGCAGCGCGCAGGCTCTAGGGCCCCCTTAAGCCCCTCCCCCCACGTGGTGCGAGGCGGAGGAGCAGGCAGGGCCCGGCCGGAGACGTCATTTCCGCCTGTGTAGCGGTGGGGAGCGTAGCTGTGCGCGGAGCGGGACAGGACGGGACGTGAGTGCTGGGGGTCCGCGCCCGCAGCCGGGCTGGGGGGCGGGTGCCGCCATCTTATCTCCCCGCCACGGGCTGGCGGCGTGGGGCGGTGGCAGGTTCCGCGCTCGGGCCTCGCGTCACCCTGCGCTCAGGGGCGCACGGCTCCGCGTTGCCGCGGGCCGGGCTGGGGCGGAGCGGAGCGGGAGGAGGAGCCGCAGCCGCAGCCGCGGGGAGCTGCCATGTTGGGGGGCCAAAGAAAGAACCTCGGAGCGAGGGAGAAAATGGCGGCTGGGACCCGCCCGCCCAGACCCCCGCGTCCCCGGGGCCCGGCCTGGCCCGCCCTGGCCCTTCCCGGGTGGGTGTGGGGGGCACAGCGGCGCCTGGAGCCTCTTCCCCAGGGGCTGGCTGCGCCCTCCCTCGGCTCCTGTCCCAGGGTTGCCCCTTCCCTCCCCGGGCCCTGGGGGCTCAGCTCCCTGTGTTTCTCCCTCCTCCCAGTCCTGTGGCGGCCCCTGCCTGGCCTTTCCCCTTCCTCCCGGGCAGGTGGGTTCCCACCCCCAGTGTTCAAGCATCACTTGTCTTGGTCTTTGCCCAGCCCTGTGGTGGAAACAGGAAAAGGCTGGGACTGTTGAGGACCCAAGTGCCCCTTCCCTTTCCCTCCTGCAGGCCTCACCCAAGTGTCCCTCTCCCTCCCTCTGTCCTTTAGGTTCCCTTGCTTTGCCCTGGTCCTGAGCCCTATCCTGTGTCCTACTCTGGGTCTCCTTCCACCCTTGTCACCCTGACCCATTTTCTTCCCCAGGGTAATCCTCTTCCCGCTACTTGAAACAAGCTGGTGTCAAAGGTTCAGCCCCCACTGTAAATCGCTCCTTTCCTAGGAGCTTCCCTCCCTCCCCCACTTTTGAGAGAGGCAAACAAGGCACGAGGAGGCAGAGAACTGGTCGTTATCAGGCCAGATGTTCATGGGCTGGACGTAACCGTACGTCTTGTAGAGCAGATGGGAGGGTAGGCGCATATCTACCGTTGTTCATTCAAACAGACGAGGGTGCGCTTAATGAAATTTGGTCCTTAAAAGTCTGCCCTGAGTTTGCCTGACAAATTTGTTGCCAAGCGAGGGGTACAAAACACAATATTAATTGAACATATTTGCTTGAATAGAAGACATCTTCAATTATAAGGCAATGCCCCGGTGAGTAGATTCAGTATCTGAAAAACATGTACACTTGTTGTAATTTTTCAGATATTGAATCTAATTGTTGGAAGATTTCCTTGAATTTGTCCTCTTCCCACTGCTATAGCAGGGAAAATAAATCAAGGGGCGGGGGTGAGGAGGGGGAGATCAGATGATTCTTTATTCTCTGCTTCTCCCCAGCTTTTTCCCCCGGCAGCCCCTTCTCCCTCCCCTTACTATCAGACCCTGGCTGTAGCAATTTGCAGGCAGTACCCATAGACTTAGTTTGTCCAGGATTGATGCATGTTACTTTTTGAAATGGCTGCACGTTTCAGAATAGGTTTCATAAACACAGTTTTGAGCAGCACTGTGTGGGTATACCACTGGGCAAGCTTTCTCTTTTGGAGACCCATCTGTCTGGGAGTTCAGACACTCCTCAAGTGCGCCCAAATCCATGGTACTTGCCTTGCATGCACACCCTGAGCCCAAAGGTTTTGACGTTCAGGTACGTAGTCATACTTGCTCCTAACCAAACGGACAGTGGAACAAGGCCAAAGGAGAAAGCACAGGTACAGTCAAGTCAGTTGCACAATCACATTTCTCACAGTTAGGAAAGTTGGAGGGAAAATGTTTCGTGTTCCAATCCAAATAGGCCAAAACAAGTCCAAATCTGTGAGTCAGTCAAGAACTATAAGTGGCCCTACTACCAGCAAACATTCTCCACCCCACCTGGGGCTTCAGATGTTTCCAAATGCTTTGGCAGGCGTGGGGTTCAGCTGCCCCTGAGTTTCACTTGCCTTCAGCCATAAGGTCCTAGCAGCAAGCTAGGAAGGAGTTTCCCCTTCTCATAAAGAGGGCATAAAGCCAAGATCTTCCCTTAGGAAGTGGAAGGTTAACTATGCATTACCTCTAGCAGGTACTGTCCCATGCCAGGAGAGTGGTTTTCCCCAACCTTTTTTTTTTTTTTTTTTTT